CGGCCCGAGAGCTGGAGGGGTGCGGTGCCACTTCCAAACCTCTCGAAGCGAAGCTCCCATGCCAAGACAGGTGCCGCCTGAAGCTGCGAATGACAGCGCAAACGCCCCACCCCCATGAGACATCGGCCTTCCAGACTTGCATTTGGCTGCCTTCGTCCCCTCTTCCCCGTGTCTGCACCCAAAGGTGCCGAGCCGGACAAGCCCAGCTCTGTGCACGTAACGGGGCTCGCAAGCGCTATCTAAGAATGATAAAAGTCAACAGGACAAACGGCACGGCTGGGCGCTGCCCAACGGAAGCACATCAGGACCCTTCCAGGAGCCATAGAGAGCTGTCACTGGCACCACGACTGGGTTCCAAGATGACATTTGTAAAACAGAAAGGTTTCCAAGTTTTTACTGTGCATGTTTTAGTGCACGCCCTTGAAAATTAGCAAAGTCCCCTCTGGAGAAAAGCAGCGGGCTTGTTTTTAAAACAATCTTACAAATAATAGGAAAAGCATGGAAAGAGACAGAAGCAAGAGCATGTATGTAAAATCTTCACATCGCTTGATGTAAAACACCAAATATTCCATGCTGTAATGCTGATAAAAAGAGGACTCAAACCATAATTAATTACTTGCTACAGTATTTTACAGAGATTAGTTAGCCCTGACAAAAATTACAGTAAGAACAAATGAAAACTGAAGTCTAAGAGGTGTGGTACGTGGCTCAGAGTGCAGAGCCAGCTTGGCCTTGGATGGAGGGTGTCTTCTCTACAGCAGCAGTCCTGTGAATTCCAAACCCCAAACCGATCTTGACTCCTGATCTTGTATTGCTTTCCTCAAGTGGGAGAGCTATTCAAATTGCAGTTTCACAACTACACCATTCAACCACAGTGTTCAGCACAGAGAGAAAGCCTAAGCCGAGTTCTGGCTGTGTTAGCAATTTTATGGAAATCACTGCATGACAATTATTTAGATTAAATAATACTTGGTTGAATTAAGCCACAGTTCTCTCAGAGTATGGCTTATTTCTAGGCAGCTGCCATTTAGCCTACTTCATGACTGACTTTTAATATCTCACAGAGCTCATATTGATACACTATCCATACCAGAAACTTGTTTTCTGGTTGCATGGCATATAAACATTTTAATGCAGAGTCCAAATAATTCATTAACATGTAATCATTAGTGGAAACAAGCAAGCATGTCTCATTATAACTAATGTGACTTCATTTGATTTTTCTCCATGGATAACAACCGGTAATGGGATGAAATCAAAGCAGAAGGGGGCTATCTGAACTCAATGAAACTGAGGAGAGGGTCGCCCACAGCCTGTCCACGAAAGCATACTCCACCCTAAAGCCCACGCCAGAGAGCGGCTTCCACGCACATCAAGCTTCCACTGCCTGGCACAGGAACATCCTTCAGACCAAGCACCTCTGTGCTCTAACCCCGCAAGGCACAGGCTCATCGCTCTCAGAAAAGCAGGCGTATAGCGGATATGCTTTGGAGCCAGAACTACTGAGATTATAAACTCAAGAGTTCAGTGCTTTAAAGCCACAATCAAGCATAGCAGCTTTTATGAACAAATTTTGGTGCTATCTGCATAGTAACATTTCCTTCTCTAGTAGTTAAGGTCAGGACAAACATCTAATAAATCAGCTATATTTCCCCATATGAGGCCAAAAAAAAAAAAAAAAAGAAAATCTACTAAATCCATTCCCATTTGTTTCATCTTAATCTACTCCCCCAACCCACTCTCGCAATTTTGGAATGTGATTACGTAATTCCAGCATAAACCTGAGCAGTAAGAGCTATCGCTGCCAGAGAAGGGAACAAAGAGCACGCCTAAAACTTCCGCTGCAGCATGTCAGTCATTGCTACCTGGGAGAAGTTTGCTGCTTTACTACAGCAGTCCTTGAGAACAAACAAATTTTCAAGTTGTTTTTGATGCATTTATTGTCTGACTTGGTTTTTACATTATATTAACACACACAATGGCTTTGTTATTGTTACAGGGAACAAACTTGTCCAAGGAGTTTCCAATCCAAAATACACCGGCAACTTGTGAGCACGTTGGTTCAGCACAAAGATGCACGCTCACCAGAATGCGTTCAGAATTGGGAAAAGCTCGCCCCACCCCCCCCCCCGGTTTTTTAATTTTACACATAGCTAAATACCCTGCATGTTAAGTATCCTCATCATCAGGCTTCTCTCTCCCTAATTTCCCTTCTACAGCAGGTCAGATTATATAATTTGTTTTAATGTATACTTATCAATATGCATTTTTTTGTAAACTGTTACATTAAAAATATTTGCTTATTACATTATTTAACAGTACATTACATTTAAGTTGCTGAAAAACACCCCTACCTTCAGTTTAGTATTTGCTTTCTAGAATTACCATCTTTCACATATGTTGAATAACAGGTGATTTTATCTGTACCTCTTACTTCACATAGCTCCAACCAAAAAAGGGCAAAAAATTAACTGTAAAAATTATTTTAAAAACCAAATAGAAACCAGTGATTTATTAAACTGCGGATTGCTCGAACCCCCATACTTTTTCATGCCAAGAAACAAATATCTGGTTCCGCAGGCAGACCAACAGAGTGCAAATGCCTCAGATGGTTGGATAAGATATACAGAACTATTTTGAATAAAATTTCAAAAACAGGTATGTCTTGCATACACGAGGTTCAGGAGAGGCACAAATCCTTTAAAGAAAGGGAATATGCCTACTCATACACACATTTGTATGAATGGAATTAATTTTTAAAGATTGGTGTGCTTTCTTATAAAGATGATCAATGAGAAGCAAGTCTTTTTCTCTCCAATATTTCACACAAATACTGCAAAATATGCAGAAAAGAACACTAAGAACTACGTCAAACATATAACTCAAGTGCAGTTCATTTTTATAGCTCTGTAGAGAGAGATTTCTTCTCTTTGCTCTAGAAGCAAGGAGAAACTTTACATTGTACTTGTTTTAAACATGAGTTATAGTCATGTAAGATAAAAGCTGTTTCCACAATGGTCTCATTCACGCTGATCTGCATGTTTCAGCTAGAAAGGTATCCTTTTGTATTTTTGGCCAATAGAACACATTTTATTTCAGTTGAAAAAATCCCTCTTTTTTTCTCTCCGTGACAGGAGAGTTACTGGCATAAGCAGTCACATAAAAGCATCACCTCACTTGGTTAAAACAACACATATATGGAATTATCTTCCAGGCATTAATATTATAGAAAAGATTTAAAGTAACAATATGGGAAATGGTTTATTCCTTATACTAGAAAATAAGAGAATTCAACAGAGATGCAACTGTGACTGCCCAGTGTAATTTCAATTAATCTACAACTTTACATACTAATGGCCTGACATATCATGACAGAAGAGTATGCATTTCTAAAAATCAATTTAAAACAACATAAAATACTATCAAATAGCACCAATCCGTGCTAAATATTGCCAAGTTCTCCTTACCTCTCTTCTCTTTCACCAAGCTTAGGTGAAAAATTGAAGAGAGAGTGATTTTCTCCCCATCTTGTCAATCTATGCAATCTAAAAGCTACTGCCTTTTGCAGCTTTTCTAGTTTTTTCTGCTGCTGAAAAATAATTACAATTGGATATCAGCCCAAATTAATACTGGGTCCCTTTACAAGTGGGCCAAAAGCAACCGAAAGAGCTTTCAAACAAACTGCCATCTTCTCGACTAATTCACACAAATGGTCCCATTGCTTTGCAGGACTTGCAATGAAATTATACGCCTGAATTACAAGGGCAACCTAATGCCCTTTGGCTTTGTATCTCATCTTTCACAGCATCTTGTAAGCACTTTTCAGTTACCCACAATGCTCCAGTATCAGCATAAAATTTCCAGCACAGGTCTAAAAATTCAGTTTTCTGATTTCCCCCACCCCCAAATTTAACTTGCAGTCCCTCAGCTGAGGGAATGTAGCTTCTCTAATAATCTTGAAGCTTTGTAAGACTTCCAGTTCTACCAACCAACACTGATATCCCAAAAGCAAGGTATTCTAAGCTGTCAGTAAGAAAACATTTAAACATTTAAAAGATTAGCTAGTTCACACATGATTAGCAAGCACCATCCAGATGGCTTCAGAATGACATATAACTGTATTGTTACGCTATTCAATTAAGTTTTTGCACATCTATGCAAATATTCAAATGTGACATTTATCTATACAAATACTCAAGTGACAGTCTTAAGTTCAATTTCAAATTGCTTTTCTGCTGTTGGCAATGGGGGCAGTGATGAGAACACATCCCTGTACCCCGAAACTACTTCAGCCTATGCATCTGTCCACTAAATGAAGTTTTCAATTGGTTTGATTTTGAGGAAACAAGGCTGGGGGCGTGGGGAGAACAACCAAAAAACAACCCCCCCGCCTGTGAGGGGGCCCATTTTATTGTTTGTGATACAGTTGACTTGAAAGACAGTTCACATTTCCTTTCTCTGAACAAAGTTCTGACATGAGGCCACAAAATATTCAAGCCTAAGTGATCTGAAGTTTCCTGTTGTTACAATTAAAACTGACATGAAGCACAGAAATTATAGTGTGATACAACGTAAAGACTAGCATAAGAATACTAATCTTCAATAAACCACTAAATTGTTTTTACAGGAAACAAATATTCAATAAAGCATTTTATACTAAGCTATTTTTAATATTATGAAATGGAGACAAGGAAAAGTAACACAATATATTAAGAGAAGTTAATGGATCTCAGTCAGACAAATTATACCAGCCTTCAGTGTAGGCTAAAATCTACTCTTACTAGTGTCTGAATTCAGTTTTCTGCTGCGAATGTAGTAACACAAAAGGTGACACTTCTCTCCTCTGCACTTTTCTTGGCAAACAGTATACATGCATAATCTATGCATATTAAGTTCTGTTACACACAGACTAACATTCTAGGAATAACAGCTACCTAAAGCCCAACTGAGGTATATTAAATATTGCGCTTTTTCAGTCATTGTAGACCATGAGCCATGCAACCATCACAACAGCAACTCCGAACATTGGCAGCATAATGAGGTTCTTGTATTTTTGCCATGATGATTGTTCAACTTCTACTTCATCCTTTCTTCTCTTATTCTTTCTTCGCCCTTTTAATCTGTTTTCAAAAGCTTCCAGTTCAGCCTAGATGAAGAAAACCAGAAGTAATTGACAGTTGTGTCAGAATTAAAAACAAGGAAACGTGCAGATTTTAAATAACACTCCCAAAAACTATTTTAAAGAAATTACTGGCAGCCAATGGAAGTTATGTGTCTTACAGATGAGTTGGTAGCACTACATCCCATGGTTACAAAGCACTTCGCTTCCAAGTATTAAACCATTGTTTAGTTTCCTATAAAAAATGTCGCCAAAAATGCAACCAACTTAAGTTTCCCTGCCAAAATGAGATTATTTCCATGAAGTGTGTTAAAAATACATTATTTTTCCTATTAAAGCTTAAATACTTACAAGTGCTTTTCTATTATGATAACATATATAAAAGCATATGCTGAAATCTTCAAAGACCTCCCCCCTATAATAAGGATGCTCTCTCTGCTAAAAATAAATTAATAAAAATCTATTATCTTTCCCCCAATTCTTTATATTTTGCATGCTCAGATAAATTCTAGATTAATAGCTATAATCTTAGACATGCACAAAAAGATTCCATCCGTTAGGTGTTATAATTTAACACTTGGTCACTCATATATGACTGTAGTAGGTACATAGCATCCTTCAAAAGAAAGCACATGCCCTTAGGCCCAAAAATGAAGCAAAGCAACTGGCAAAATAAGAAGAATGCCAAGCTTCCACCCAGAACAGCGGCTGCAGGGTGATGCCTGGAATGAACAGTAGGATCCTCTGATCCCTGTTCCTCATCCCCCTCCTCCACATCCTTTCTTTAAAAGGGTATCAAGAGACTATAGACAAAACTCATTTTAGGGTACAAAGCTGAAATAAAACTGGAATTAGGCAGCCTGGAACAAATAGTGTAAGACTGGGATGAGACTCCAATGAGGAACCATCTAATTGCTAGGAAAATCAGAAAAGATGCTCTGAAGGAGAGTTAAGAAACTAAAAAACAGAAAAGGTCTGACGATTATCTGGATTTTTGGGTAGAGTTGTCAGCTACTAGAGAAAGCATGGGACAAGGAGCTAGGGAGCAGAGAGACTAGATGAACTGAAAGAGAGAAGAGAGATGGGAGCAGAAGAGTGCAGCAAGCCACGACTGGCTGGGCAAAAGGCACAAGACTGAGCTGAAGCAGAGGAAACATGGACAGCGAACAGAGATAAAGCCTGGCCATGAGAGGAAATAAATCTACATGACTACTACTGCAGTGCTGCCAGGAAGAGAGGGACTAAGACAATAAGGTGAATTAAAAGAAACAAGAATAAGACTGTTTTGGGAAATGGGCAGAGAAGTAGTCCAGTAAATACAATTTTCCTTTGGAACTCAAGACTGCCTGATGTCTGGTCTTCCTCTACTGACAGCAAATATTTGTCAGAGTTTCACAAAGCAAGATCTTACTTCCCTTTGTGTGCCAGATACCACTGTTAGCAGGAGAAAGGGACCCGTTTTGATGTCTATTCCTTCGTACCTAATAAAGGTAGAAATTGTTGGCACTTCTCTGATGACATGGGAGAAAAGTTCAGACAAAGTTCCACAGCCTGCTATTTGAAACAAGATTACTTTCAACTAGCTAATCCTCCTTTAGAAAAGCAAAATATTTTAATGAAACAGTTTTTCAAAATTCAAAATCTGGAGGCAAGTGCAGAGTTCTTAAGGTTTTATAGACAATATGTCAGTATTTCATTTTACACAGACACTAAATAAAATTTGGGGCTTCTATAGTTATTATATCCTTGTGATCTGTAAGTTTTAAAAGCAAAGAGCTTCGTGAATTGCAGTAATCTGAATTAAAATATAGGGCTCGAACAATTATGTAACAGGTACTGAATTGCTTTTCTAGTGATCTTTATAAAAACTCAGCTAAAAATAAATACATTATAAAAAAACAAAACACAGAATGAAAAAAGGTTCGTGGGCACAGAATACGAGAAAGAAGCCATCACTATCCTTGAAAAGCTACCTACGGATTTTATATAACTGTCATCGTTCCCAAAGTGTCACCTCAATGATCTCTGAACAATAAAGCAATGGTTGTGCTCCGTCTTCAAAATACCTTCATTTTTCAAGCTAAACAAGCTCAAGTTTTTTATTTAGACGAAGAACCTAATTTCTTTGTGTATAGGCACATTAAAAGTAAAATGAAATGCCTTTATTTAAACTGTATACTCAAACCAGTTTGATGTCAGATAATGTCTAATTTAGTGTTGCTTAGGTACTGGATTTTGCTCCTTCATTTGTTATTCTCTATATTCTTCCTGTACTGGAAGGAGTAGCAGCCCCATGGGAAAATGTAGCTAAATGAATACAAATAACAGTGACTATACAGACACAAAGCATATATCCTGAAATTGCAGGTCTTGTTATTTTACAGGGGGGCAGGCGCTTGACTTTTGTAACTTCTAAGGAGCTATTAAAACATTTTTCTATCTAAGAGAAAAGGAAACAAAATCTTTCATACAACTCATTAAATTAGAATTCAGGTCTGAGACCTCAACTTCCAGTATTGAAAACTCCTGACTATTACCAGAGAGCTCAAAAATTTAACCAAATCTTTTACACTAGAGTGGGACAGAGAGAAAGCTTGGTCTTAATTGTTAAATAATCAAAGCACTGATTTTTTTTTCCACATCTAGCAATTGTGAAAACCCTGGCCTCACACAGTGCCTCTGAATTAGAAGCAGAAGGAAAGTTTGGCTGCTTAGGGCCATGACGAGAAGCCTAACCAAGCCGTCTCCCTTCCACTAAGAAACAAGTGATTCCATCTGTAAATTATATTAGCAGAAGGTGCTACCAAATATAGCAAATACCAAAATATAAATGTGCAGACTTACCAGAGTACATACTAGTTTGTATATAAAGAATTTAATGAAGTATTCATCAAAACAGGTCTCAAGAAGCTGTGACTAACAGGTGGACTGTCTATATAAAAATGTGCTAATGAGATCAGGAAGGTGGTACAAAATGCAAACTTTTGTCAGAAGGGAGTAATATTCAATAAATATATACTCTTAATGTGACCCAACACACTATCATAGTGATGTCCTCCATTTGCATCACCAGATGGCAGATTATGAGATCAAATTGGAAGGGAATCAATTTTAGATAAAAGGCTGCAGTAGCTGAGATTAGTACTTGTGTGCAATTCTAGACCCTATTTATTAGTTACCCTTGTCCTTTTTTTTTTAATTGGTTTTGTCCTTTTTTTTTTTTTTTACTGTTGTTGTCCTACTGTTTGTTGTTGTGCTACATAACTGTCCTACAGTTTGCTATTGTGCTATATAACTGTTCACTCTTAATTAACCTTTTAATAGGCTTGATTATGTATAGGCAAAGTCTTCTATCCCTGAAGCTGCATCGATCACAAGACACGTATGCAGAAGCAGTTGCCATATATTGCCATACATTGTAACTGTGAGACTTCAGCAAATGAAGAAGTAGAAAGCAACGGTGGTGTGACTGCACAGAGAAGCAATCACTGCTGAAGAATCATGACAAAAATATTGTTGCACACTATGCTGGTGCAGTGAGTCTGCTACAGTTTCAGAGGAGCCTCATTACTGAGACTTTACTAGGGGGACTATAGGTTAAGTGATTTTGAGGCAGAAATCATTAGTAACCGGGATGCCTTCTGCAATGCATGAAAACACAATCAGTGCAATACAAACACCAACAACTTTGAATTTCTAGCTCTAGAATTGTAAGCATGTTCTTTACATGTGTAAATGTCCACTAGTACACTTCAGTACTTAGCTTGCAGAACCATCAGTTATAGATTACCTCTGCCTAACAAAATGTTTCGGACATCTGTATGCAAGCTACACTTCCTGACCTATGTCCTAGGACTAACATTTCCAAGGTCAACTTGGAGAACAAGAAGAATTAGATGAACTGTCTATGAGTTGCATGAGGGAATATGTGATCAATATTGTAGACAGTTGAGGCATGAATTAACAATAAACATTACAAGATGATCGCAAAATGGTGCCTGATCCCCTGGACAACAGGTACATAACTGCGTGCTTTTCCTGCACAATGAGTCGACACACTCCCCTTTCAGAAGTACAAGCAGGCCTTGCTAGAGCATTGGTTGGTAGACATAACGCTTTAATAAAGTCTCTAGGCAGTTAATCAAAGTATGCATAACAGAAGTTGTGACCCACAGAGAAACTGTCTATCCTTATAAGATTGGGAGAACTGTACAAGAGGATCGGGTCTGTGAGTAAGCCTCCCACACCCCCTTTCAAAGCAGGGAGTGAGCTAGTGCGCCACAAAAAAAAAACGAGTGTGGCATCCGGGTGAAAACACAAGTATAACCTAATACATAACAGTTGTGACAACTGAGTAAAAGGAGAGTTAGAAAGCACACACTGGACTTAGAATATGATTTGGTGTCAAATGCTCAGGCACAGGCATACATGCATGAACTGGTTGGAAGGAGTGCATTAAGGCTGTAGCCTCCAGATGACAAACCTGACCTAGCCACCACCACCAACCAAGCTTACAGTTATTCCCTAAAATACGATTAGTATTAGTGTCTTCAGGCAGCTGGCACAGAAGCTTCTTGGATTACAATGCCAACAACATATGCTCACCAACAACAGCAATTACAGTAAATACACACTTTTTTTCCCCCCTCAGAGATCCCGAAGGACAAAGACTCATTTAGCCTTCCTCATTCTTTCACGATGGGAGGGAGGAGGGAAGCTTCACCCAATATTTAAATCTCTATGGAGGCTATTCAGCAATTCTGTGGGGTTTATGCATTATAAATTGTTCAATTAAAATAAAGAGTATTTAGTATTTTAAAAATAAACTATACTATACACAGTTATAGTAATGCAAGATTAAACTTATTAATTACAATTTTGCATAAAATTATGAAAATTTTTGGGGAAAACATGTGGGCTCTTAACCATTGTAAATCATTCACAGCACACATCTTGGGAGTAAGGTAACAGCTGACAGGAATGACTGTGCCTATCACATTACAAACTATACATCTTTAGTTGCATGTAAATTAAATGATTTACTAACAACAACAAGGTGGGGGAGGAATTGGGTGAGGAAGAAGAAAGGTTGATACCTGTTGTCTTCGTTTCTCTTCTTCAACAGCAGCTTTGGCTTCTGCCTCTTTTATCTGTCCAGACATACAAAGTGATAAGCAACTGTTGTAAACAGCAGCTAAACCTACTTTCTTATAGACTCATAGTTACTCCTATACAATGGTTCTCAGCAAAAGTGAGCAAAACTTCCATCAACTGAGCTCTTTACTTATTCAGATTACAAAATATTCTCAGAAAAAGCTGCATCATCTCACATTTGGAAAACATGGAATATACAATGGATGTTACCAGGTTATAAATTGAACTTTGACTTCAACTTGACAAGCTCAACCGACAAATATAAAACCTAAAAAGAACAGTTTGTTCACTAATAACCAGGAAAATCCCTGAAGACAGTTATTCTTGATTGGTTTAGTGTGGACTTGGTAGTGTAGGTTAATGGTTGGACTGGATGATCTTGAAGGTCTTTTCCAACCTAAACAATTCTATGATTCTATGATAAGTTTTCAACAACCTTATCCTCAATTCAGTACACTTTACACATACAGACAATTCCTATACATGTATACAATTTACACACATATATTTCATTCTGAACGACTTTAAATATTCCCTGACTACTAGAGCAAAAGGAAACCTTTATATTTGTATCAAATACGACATATATTGGATAATGCATAACCAAACTGCTTTAAAGCTCCTGGTGTAATGCAAACCAGATGTAATTAAAAATGCTCCACCATCAGAAAGTCACATGAAAAGAAGTCATGTGAGGTGCAATTGATAATTCTATAGAAGTGCTTTGTAGTGTTAAAGAAAGCAAATTAAATGCTAGAAATTAAGAAAAGAATGGTACAGAAAAAATGTCAATATGTAAACACAATGCACTTGAATCTTAGCTCCTGCATTCAGTTTTGGTTCTGCAATAACAAAACAATGTAAAGCCTGAACATATACAAAAGACAACAGGATGGAGTGGCTTCCATCTAAAGAGACGTATAACTAGGATTCATCAGGTGACTAACAGGGCACAAAATCCTGAAGAGTGTGAAGACGCCAAATAGAGAGAAAACATCAATAATTATTTGTCATAATACAAAAGCAAAGGCTTAAAATTAAGTTACCAGGAGGACAGTTCATAACAGAGGGAAGTATTCTACTCCCACATAGTAGGTCGACATAGTTGGTTGACAGCCGGCTGAACATGAGCCAGCAGTGTGCCCAGGTGGCCAAGAAGGCCAACAGCATCCTGGCTTGTATCAGGAATAGTGTGGCCAGCAGGAGCAGGGAGGTGATTGTCCCCCCGTACTCGGCGCTGGTGAGGCCGCACCTGGAATACTGTGTCCAGTTTTGGGCCCCTCAATACAAGAAAGACATTGAGGTGCTGCAGCGTGTTCAGAAAAGGGCAGCGAAGCTGGTGAAGGGTCTGGAGCACAGGTCTTATGAGGAGCGGCTGAGGGAACTGGGGTTGTTTAGCCTGGAAAAGAGGAGGCTGAGGGGAGACCTTATCGCTCTCTACAACTACCTGAAAGGAGGGTGTAGTGAGGTGGGTGTTGGTCTCTTCTCCCACGTAGTTGGCGATAGGATGAGAGGAAATGGGCTCAAGCTGCGCCAGGGGAGGTTTAAGTTGGATATTAAGAAAAATTTCTTCACAGAAAGGGTAGTCAAGCATTGGAACAGGCTGCCCAGAGAGGTAGTGGAGTCACCATCCCTGGAAGCATTAAAAAAATGGGTAGATGTGGCACTTCAGGACCTGGTTTAGTCTAGTCTACCCTTGATTGGTTTAGTGTGGACTTGGTAGTGTAGGTTAATGGTTGGACTGGATGATCTTAAAGGTCTTCTCCAACCTAAATGATTCTGTGATTCTATGATTCTATAGTATTTGGCTAAATCTAGAAATTCAGTGCTACAGGATATTTATAGATGCCAAAAGTTTACATTGAATGAAAAACAATTATGCGTGCTAACAGGAGATAAATCCAACAGAGATCATTAGGCAGAAAGACACCAGCTCGATCTCTAACATTCCCACAGTCACAGATCACTACAGAATAGTAGTAACAGGAAGAGTATACTGGGGAAGTATATGCATCTCTCTTCTTGTCTACATTTCTTGGACCTTTAGCATTACAGCCACTGAATCACTACTTTAGAAAAGTTAGATGTAAAAATCTGATTAATCAACTTGAAATGCAAAACAGTCTGGATCCTAATAACTGGATGATTTGCATACTAACAGTGACAATAATTTAGTAAATTTGGATTGCACAGGTGGAATTTGTTCCAAACAATTTGCAATTCAAGAGCTCTTGACTAAGGAGAAAGCACACCAGCCCATGCTTTACCACACTGCAGCTCAAACACTGTGTATTGGTGACAGAGTGAATAAAACAGTCCTATTTTCAGGTTTCCAGACAGTTTTTTAAATTGCTAAACTGTATATCAAATAAAACCATTACTGAGAATTTCATTCATCTAGTCACAATGGCAGAGTCTGTATAAAAGACCTTTTCAGCTATGCACACCTGAAATCGCAGTCATGTGGAAAAAACTGCACAACTAGCCTCCTGGTATTTCACTGCCATCTAATGGCAGAACTTCAGCTCCAAAATTAAAAATGACCCACAGATGTGGAAAAAAGCAACATAAGAGCTTCTTTTTACAGTGGTGTGGTCATATTTGTGTAAGATAGACAGGTATAATATACATAGGTAGAGGGAAGCTTAACCATTATAATCACAGCACTAATCATCAGCAATGATGATTTTATCATCACTGACATCACTTGTTCTCAGTGGAAGAGGAAAGAACCAGTTCTAAGAAATGAAAAAAAAAGGGAAAATGACAGAATGTTGTTTTAACATAGTATTTCACTGAGCTAATTAACACTGTCTACAAACACTGCAGTTCTCCCCTCTAAGCCAAATGCAAGTCTGAAAAACTAGCTGCTATTATATGGCACATCTACTTATGTTGTATTTTTTGCTGGTATTGCCTTGAAAAATAATTCTGTGTTCATTTTTTCCTACTTTTCTTGAAGCACTGAAGACATTATAGCTACAATGGATACATTACCTCAGCTGCTTTCCGTTTCATTTCCTTGCATAATGCATCGCATTCCAGTGAAACTTGGCCTTCTTGTATCTTGCTGCACTGTATTTCCTGTTAAGTATAGAGTCTTTTATAATCATTTCCCTATATAAAATTTTAGTAATTGTCCATTTCTTTATTAAAATAATTATAAAACATTCTTATTTAGTAAAACATTGGTTACACAGAAAATAAAGCTAATGATTAAACATTATTTGAACCTGTAATTCTGTATCAAATTGTCCTTTTCTCTTTTCCTTCTTTCTGATAAGCTAAACTGAAAGCAAGAATAAATCAAATAGTCCAGTTTAATTTCTCCTCTCTTCTCTTTTCTCACTTGTTTGCCTAAGACAAAGTAAGACAACCTTCTAAACTCTACCAGAAAGAGCTGGCATTCAGAGTCTCAGTAATTTCATATACATTCTTGTAACTGTCTGAGACTACAGGGCAAGGTCTGGTCATGGGGGGGACGGAATTCTCACTCACCCTTCCTCCCCTCCCCCTAATATTGAAGAAAAAAAAAAAAAAAGGTGGTTATCTGTAAGCAGAGACTGTTCAACTTGAAGCACTTGTTCTGTACATATCATCCTTTCTCCTGCTGGACACCCCACCTGCAAGACTTCTGGTTACACAAGACATTTCTTGGAGAAGCCGAGAACTCTGGGGAACTGCAGCCTGTTTGGAAGGCTCAGAAGTTAACCGGGTCCAGAAAAATAATTTAAGCACCTTTTAATTAAGCCAGATAATGATTTTTTCATTAAGTCATTATTATTTGCCAAGACTTCACATCAATTTCTGTTCTTCCCCTCATAATACTATATAGCTATAATAAACTTGTTACATTACTTTGTCCCTTATCTTTGTCAGAAGCTAAGGACGCTGATGCCTGTATTTGCTTTTAGGTTTGCAGAGAACCGTAACTGATTATGTTAGGGATTCACAATATCTATTCTTGTTCCAACTTATGTAATTATAAATCTCCCCAACATCATCAGAAAAATAAATTTTTTTCTTCTTAAATCACTCCAGGTCATCTGACTATTCTCCCAGAGGAGCTACAAAAATTCAAGTGTGCTTGAAGATAAAGCTATTGTAAGTCAGGCAGCTACCATGTTTTAGAACTAGCAGGATTTTATATTCTCCAATTAATCTTTTGCTATTGCAGCCCAGATCTGCAGCTGATGTGAACTGTTATAGCTCTACCAGAGTAACTGGACCTCTTGTAATCTGCACCAGAGATGATCCATCCATACAAGCCTAGGAACATGCAAAGAAAATACATCATTCTCAAAACTGTAACTTAGAAATATACCTTTTTCAGTCTCTTGCAGAGACATCGGAGTTTTACCTTCTGGCTGCAGTTCAGAGGACAGCTACCTGAATGGCAAATCTCTTTACACCGGTGACCACAGGGCAACTATAAAGAACAACACACACAAACAAAACCTCCACACCAATAAGTGATTGTAAATTTACAAAGACTCTATGAACTGGTTTTATTTCAGACACAGCAGCTTAACAGAAAACTCATTCAGCTTATCAGTTTTTCCACTTGTGAAATAGTTGATTTTTCTTTTTTTTTTTTTGGCAAACGTTTGCTTGTCCTGTAGAACAATTTGTCTTTTACTGGCACAGCTTGATTAAAAACCAATTTCTTCTTTCACATGTTTCAAGAATAGTCATCTCCACAGTAATTTATACAACGATTACCCTAGCTATCTGTATTGTGGGGGAATGTGAGTAGATAAGATAAAAAGAAACTCTGAAATTAAGAGTACTGCAGCAACTTGTAGATCAGAGTCAAAAAAAAAAAGAGGGGAGAATCAGAAGCAAAAACACGACAAAAGAAAATTTTGCATGCAAGACTCTTCTGAACTCTGCAGAAGTCAAATACAGGTCACCAGGATTCTTATCATGTATGAAATAGTTTCACGAAATCCTAAATTTCTGCATTTGGCAGATTTTCCCATTTCTGACATCTGTGAAATAGAGACTTTTTTTACTGCCAGTGCAATTTTTAACATTTATAATGAAAATATTATCATTCAATTACTGTGTTAAGAACTGAGATACTAATTTAAATATGCTGTTAGGAATGTAGCAGTGCTCCCAGCATTATATTAGAAAAAAAATGGCAAGAAAGCAAACAAATGTTTTCACTTTCTGTTAAGAACTTGACTGAAAATATACCTTGCTCATACATATACCCCTAAGAAATCTTCACAATAACGGTTTTTCATTTTCAGTTACATAACCCAATACTGTTAATAACTGAAGGTGGAATCTCACATAAGACATTCAGTTGATTTATTTATAGAGGTAGCTTTTAATCCCCAAACCATTTAAAATGGCATTGGATAGTGTTCTTTATTAAAAGTGAAATTTCACCTCTTCGCTGTCATCAAGGGATTAACATAACTTGGAAAATGCTGTAAGACATACAATTTTAAGATACATTTTATCACATTTATTAAAAATTGAAAATGTATACATAATACATCACTTCATCCACAAGAATGAGAATACTACATAAGATAATTATAAAACCCAGGTGTATACACTTCTTGTTCATTAGTAAATTTGGATTCTTAGAAGTCCATTGGAACTGGCTCAACCTCTGAGACAGTATCATGAAACACATACCTAAACAGAAGGCAAAATTTTCATATTAAAAATTATAGAACAGACATACATGTTTTCATGTCTATGCCAGTCACAAACTATTACTACACTGATAGATACTTTGCGGTTTAGGTTCAGTTTTTTCAGTCACCCTTTCAGGACATTTCACACAGGACTAGAAAAAACCTCTAAGTCATCATGTTCAGTCCTGAAGTCCAGTCCTCCTAAAGGGCAGGCACCTCCTATGATCCCTCTACAACTGGATGAAGCCTTACCATGAAAACAGTCCCCCATTCTGCCTCCTTTCTGCTGTTTCACTAAGGAAGCTGTTCCAGAAGCTCACTACAAGATGCAAGAGCTTTTTGTGAATTTCCTACATTTATAAGCCAGTCTAAACACCTTAGTTCTTACCCTCGTATTGAAATATTTCTCTACTGTCCTTTCATAAAAGGCTCTTTATTCCCATAGTATTCCCTTCATTGAATTTCAACTAGCTTAAATCAGTGTTTCTTGAATACCGTAGCCAGAACTGCATGTAATATTCCAAATGACATCTCAGAAGGAAGGGCTTAATTGCACCTTATTCCTAATAGAATAGCTTCCCCAATACATCTTCAGCTCTCATTTGCATTTCTCTCTAGTAGTCGTGCTGTGACAATAAAAATTTCTGCTGTTTCTTGAGAGCTTATTATTAGCCTTGACATGCATGGTCTTACTGGGTTTTTTTTCCTGTATCTAGTAACATGCCCCAAATACATGTGTTCTGCAGATGCATTTCCTCAGTTGTCATGTACTGACAACATTCCACAAGTTTCATCAGAAAATTCCAATGTTTTTTGGTGCCAAGGTCATTACTGAAAACAATGCAAAGTCAGGTGTCAATCCAGTCCTTGGGAAAATTTCCTTATTGTTAACATCTCTTGTTCCAACTTTTCATTTAGTTGTTTTGTTGTTGTTTTGGTTCCCCCCTGCCCCCCATGATCTCATAAAACAAAAGCAATCCTACCACTGCTTCTGCTTGATAAATAATGTAGTGGGACAGGATTTTTTTTTGCTTGTTTTTAAGTGTCCATGCTGAGCTACTTGGCCCTAAAATAAAAAGTGTGTGCCCCTTTAGATCTTTTTCACCATACAAGATCTTGTCAATAGCTCATGGACTAAAGGACAAAATGAACAGGCTTTGTGTTTGACATGGCAAGGCCTTTAAAAGAAAGGGATTTAATCCACAGCTCTGAAAACGAAACAAAACAAAAAAATCCTACAAGTATTTTCCCCTTAGGCAATGCATTTAAATTTTAACGTTATGTGTGATGATGATAAACATTCATGGAGGCTTAACTGATCTCTACCAGAAGGTAATAAATGCAACTCATTAATACACATCTGATAACAAAGAAAACGGCACTTTTGAGCAGCAATCCCAAAAGCTAAGTACAAAACATAAGTTTATAACTTCCAAACAAAGGGGCAGATTCCTCAGTTTAAAGGGTGGCTCTGCTTCCAGAGATCTTACGCAAAGCTCCACTGCTTAAGCCAGACATTGAGGAAAATCCTTTCATTGTGGACCAAAGCTGTGCATTTGCCTTTTAAAATTAAATTTCTGCAAGCCACGTATATTTTCAAGGTTTGTTTACAGAAATTTAATTAAGCATTCTGGAAATAAATTTTATTTCATTTATTAAAAAGAAGATACTCTTAAAATTTATGACATTGTCTCTACTGCACTATCACGTTAAAATAAATTATCACAATGGGGTCCCATATTTCACATCAAGACAGCAGCAGAGTGCACAGTAAAAGTACAAAGTACAGTTATTTTGTCAAAAAATACTAATTACACAGAATAAAGTATTAAACACGGATCCACAAATACTGATATGAATACATAAACGAAGAAAACCGATGGACTGTTAAAACTTCTATGTAAGAGTTGTCCCTAAACATCTGCAAACATGACCACAAGAATTTAATAACCCCTGATTAAAAGAGAGTTACATTTCCTTCAAAAGGATATTTTGTTATTGCTACCGAACAAGAGAAAGAACTTTTTAATTAAAACTTCTCATCTAACAGCTGTGGCAATATCAAAGACTTTGCTTCTCCCTAAAGCAGAAAGGAAATGTGAGCCGTACTGTATAACACTAGAAGTAATTTTCATAGTTTTATACTGCCATTGCCAAAACAAAAGCATGAAACCTTTCAAGACTTTCAAGTTCCTGTTCTATTTTTTTCAAGGCATCAGAAAATATAATGGATTTTCATAATCCCCAAATGTACCTGTAATTCAAATATGGTGGTATACTGTCTACCACAATTTCCATTAACCAAAAAGAAAAACATCTCAAAACTAAGACTTCAGTGAAATACTGTATTCTATTGAACCTAAGTTGCACTATGCTAAGCTTGGTGGAGTTACAGCGCACACTGATTTTTAGTAAAACAGCAACTTCACTGAGCTCTGCTAAAGACCCAAGGTCAGCTTCTGACATCAAGTAAGAAAATTCTCATAAAACACTCATTTGATATTTACTTGAGGCTGTCAGGACTACACTCAAAACATTTCCAATTTAGTTTTGGGCAGGCATATTTGATATGTAAACTTTAAATGTTCTAAATTCAGTAGCCTTATCCATCTTATCTTTTGGGCAAGTTGTTTGTAAGTTCTTGTCACAAGGTCCCCTCAATGGGCTTGATCTATATTTGCTGGGGAGGGGTGGCAGTGGTGGTAGTGGCAGGCTGCTCCTTCAAATTGTGTTTAGCAATGATCTCTTTAAAAGAGAACTATCAGTACAATTTGTATTATGATACAGCTAGCTAGTTTTCCCAAAGTTGCAGACAAATATTGTATACTTATAAAATAGACAAAATATCCCTAGCACTGTTTAATATTCAGAGAAATGGGAACAAATCTTTTGGGGGGGGGGGGGAGGGAAAAAACCCAACAAGTGGGGGGGGGGGGGAAGGTAAAAAACCCATACAGAAATTACCAAAATAGGATCTGAGGAAAGTAGGATGAGCTGTAACACAAAGATATGAACTACCTGAAGCAGGACTGTACTAATGCTTTTACGTTTCATGAAAGCCAGTAAGAGCTAAAGCTAGAATCACAGGAAGGGAAGAGCACGCATTTTTACACCATCAGTTACACTAAAAAGATTCTCTGGATAGCAGAAGCTGCATAAAACCTTACTTTTCTAGACATCCATAGGAATGAGAATATGAGTTAAATAAAAGCTTTATAAAACTAAAGTGGACTCTCTTGGCTTAAACTTACTTTCACATCCCAATGAATTAAGTAAAAAAGACATCAGCTGTGGAACGGGACAATTCTGAACTGCAAGCTAGAATTCAGGACCACTACTAGATGGATTTTAAATCCCAGACTCAGTCTTGGGAATATGTCCAGAAAAATCACAACAGTTACATTAATCAAAGATGAGATGGGGGGGGGGAGGGCGGAATCTTTGAAGAGAAGCTGAAGTACAGGAACACATAGTTCATGTTAAGAGATTATAAGCACTCTTGAAAATAAAGAGGAAGTCTGGGAGCAAATAAAACCAAAGTAAGAGAGAAGGAAATGAAAGGACAAAATTAAGAGGTAAATGGACAATGAAATAATATCCAAAAGTGTTCCCCCGCCAGGAAGAGAGCTTTCAGACATCCAGATGAGAAAATTGTGACAGGCACATTCATTTACAGAAAAAAACATCAGAAAGGCATCTACAAGGGCAAAAAGCAGAAGATACAAGTAGGCACAGAGCACAGCCTTCC